TTTTTTTTTTTTTTTGCATCAAGGTGGGCAAACCAGATGCAAAATCGCTTGCCACGTAGGCATGAGACAGCCACATTTCGCCTCACGATGCAGTCGTCGAACGGCAGTTAGCAGCAGTTAAGTTGACTGTGAGAGGAGGGGTAAAATTGCTTGGATTGTAGAGTTTAGGGGCTTAAATGCATCAATTAGAGTCTAGGGGCTTAATAGCGATTCTGGGGTTGGTTCAGGGGCTTAACTTATGGTTTTACCAATATTTAAGTAGTTGGTAAGACTTGAACTCCCAACAAACCTTAACTAAATATTAAGATTTGAGAATGAATCATTAAATTCGAAAGATTAGTTCCTCAAGTGAGTCTCTTGAGACCTCCAATGGAATTCCTAGCCAACAAGGCTAGCTGAGAAAAAAATTCTAGGATTCTTAATCATTGGCTGAAAAAAATTTCTAAGATTCTTAATCATGGGCTATATATAGGGGACCATTTGGTAGAATTTAAAAACAAACCTTGCTTTTAAGTAGAGGTGGGTATTTTTGGTGCAGAAAGGATATAAGTTATATTTAATATTTAACTTAAAAATTTTTAAATATGATTTTTTAGACTTTGTATTTACGTAAAAACTTATATTTAGTACTTAATAAGTACTTGGTAATTTTTAAATATATACTTAGATACTTGTTAAATAATATTTTATTTTAAATTTTTTTATTTTAAAATTTAATAGAATCTTATTTGTTTTCAATCTAAAGTTAAATAAAACTAATAAAAATTTAGTAAAATATAGTTTGTTACAATCTAAACTTAAATATAATCTAAAATAACAATAGAAAACTAAAATTTGATTTCATATCCAAAACTCAAATCTACATACTATTAAAAGCTAAACTCAATTAAATAATTAAAAATAAAGAAAGAAAAATATGTACGCAAAATATAAAGAATGAAAATAAATTAAATAATGAAAAGAAAGTTCTTCAAAAAAGATATCCAAGTTTTTAGGCTTATAATCCCTTTAATTCTTACTTTAGTTTGTTAGAAAAAAATATAGCCGATAGTATTATATCTATTTTAACATCTTAATATCCATACTTTTGACTTTACAAATTTTATCATGTTAAAGTTAGAGTTTGAAGGTAAAAAATCATCTATACAATAAATAAAGATCATGAATAAAAAATTACTAATAGAGAAGTAAAAAGAAAGCTAAAAAGAATCAAATTTTGAAGTTGTATGTTCTCACCATTACCTAAGAATGTAGGGAAGGAAAAAGTTGTCATGCAAGTGTGATTTGTGTTTAGTTTAGAATTTGTTATTTATAAGATATGTGTGTGATTTTTTTTATTTTTAAAAATTATTGTTATTATATATATATTAACTATAATAAGTATATATAAAACTTTAATTATATAGTATAAGTAACATGTCAATTAAATATAATAGTTAAATAAATTGGATAAACAATTTTAAATCTTTATACTTGTAACTTGACTTGATATTTATAAATATATTATTTTTATATCTATTACTTATTTAATTTTTTTACAATTCAAGTAAGATATTTACCTAGATAGATAAAATACTTTAAAACAACCGATGTACCATACCCAATACTCACTCCTACTTTTAGGCAAATTCTTTTCCAAAATTTCTAAGATTCCTAATCATGGGCTATACATATGGGCCGTGTGGTAGAGTTTAAAAGCAAACTTGCTTTTAAGCATATTCTTTTTCAATAAATTTAAAAAATTGTTTAAAAGTTGTTTAACTTCATTTTTTAAAGTGACATAAAAGCTAAAAAACAAGTTTTCAAAAAAAAATTACAAATCCTAACTTGAAATCCTCCTCATTTCCTCTTCCATTTTTACTGAAATTCAATCCTAAGATTAGCTTTGTTTATCTCATTAGGAGCAGAGCAGAACGTCATTGCAAAGGGGTGCCTTACGGGAAAGAAAAATACCAAAAAAAAAAAAACTACCCTGATAATCAAGACGACATCCTCTTATTACTTAATCTAACATCACCCATATATTACCGTATAAACAAAATTAAAGTCAGGTTGACAAAAAGGGAATACTACAGAATTCCCGCAGACAACCCACTTGATTAACGTGGGATGTGAACAGATGCAAGTACATTGCTTCTAACATTGTTCTATGGAAAGCTTGAGGTCAACTTTTGTAAGCATTTGAAACCCTCCAACACCTGCATTGTCCTTTATCATCTACTAAAGGGTCAACAACCAAACTTAGCAACCAATTCGTTTCAACTTGACATACATCAATCATTTGATGCCTTCAAAAAGGCTTCTCACATAGAATTTTTATTAGATAAATCAAAATATTATTATATAAAAGTACGAGCAATAACACTCTAATTCGTACACTACAAAAGTATTCTGCCAGTAAATACCATGCTACCGGCTGCCTAGAGTGTGTCATTAACGAGCACAGCTTATTTTGCATTAGAAAAATAATGAGTGCACATCTAGATCTCAGATTTAGGAAAATAATGGGTGCATACTCGTATCTCACATCTGGGTGTACACCCCTCATATAAACAAAAACAAAAAAAAGCCAATCACCTGGTTTATTTATTTATTTTTTATGTGGGGGGTGCACACCCAGGTGTGAGATCCAGGTGTGCACCAATCATGGTACTTTGCATTAACATAAAAGCAACCAGGTCTAAAACATTAACAAAATTTACAAGACACCAACAAGCATGATTCACCCATGCATGCCACAAATTAACATGCTTTATTGAACAGTTAACACTTTATTTTTTTTATTAACTTCTTGGTATTTGATAATCATATTAGATTTTAATTAATTTAAAATCAAGTTACGTCGATCCTCATTTGGAAGGAAACTCTCTCAGCGCATGTTTCTCCGTTCACAAAACTCAAATTCAAAATTTTATTTAAAAAAAATTGAATTCTTTCCACTCAAATTAATATGTCGTCGATACAATTAATACTTTATTAAGACGTAAATATTTGAAATTTTAGAGTCAACGTTAACAATAAACTGAACAGCAAGCCAAAGTTGACTCCCATTTTGGAAGAAAACATTAAAGAGTAGGAATTCTGCATCGACCGACCTCAATCGTTCATTCCAACAATATGACTTGTTTGGAGTCGGTCGTCTTTTTTGTTGTAATTTTCGTCGACTAAATACAATGTTGGTGTTAGGTAATTCCTCGCCTAAGTCAGTCCGGATAAGGAAATATCTGTTCCTTGGTTGGGAATGGGAAGAAAATTTTCGTAGCATGCACACACCTTTGCACCCATCTCTTTTTCAATAAAAAGAAAAATGTTTCACACACAACTTTATTAAGAAAATTTCACAAGCTTAGATAACAAGAATTATAATTTAAATTTTCATTTAATAAACTAAGATAACTAAATCATATTGAAAGTGCTATATAATAAAAATTCAACTATTTCAATACAATAAACAAGTTATAAAACTATGAAATAGAAAGATATTTGTCTATACAAACTTGAATCTACAGTAACCTCTAGATTCTTAACTAATTGATTTTAGACCTTAAAATTAAAAATTTTATAAATTAAAAAATCACTCGACAAATAAAGGCTAAGAGTAGTGAATAAATTACTTATTAATTTTAGATTCACAAATTGTATACAGTGATCAAATTTCTTATTTAAAATATATAATTATTTTTAAAATTTTAAATTTATATAATAAAAAACAACTTTTTCTTATTTCATCGATCCTACCCCACTTCATGCCCATCTATTATTCATTTATTTTAATTAATTATCATATTACAAAAATAACACTTTATCTTTGATCATTTTTTTAAGAATAATATAGATAAATTTATAAATTGTCTCTAAATTCTTATTTTAAAGAAAAACATAAAAAATAACAGTTTTTTTAGACAGAAAAGCATAAATTAGGGACTAACTTTCTAATTTCTCTCTCTTTTGTCAAAAAAATTTCTGGGAAAACTTTTTTAATTTTCTAAGAATAAAAATATCCTTAGTGTAATTTTTGAAGAGTCTACTGTATGGGGTAGATCTCAATATTATGGTAGAGAGTCTAATCTAGAGTCTTTACATGTGAGTTGAATAAAACCATATAAATGGTGATAATGTGGCATTTGTAAATACTCTTGGAGATGAGACAATCTCAATATTGAAAATGCTCTATATTTGTAATTTAGCAACTTCAGAACATTTTTGAAAAATATTTCTTAATATATTTAAGGG